TTTTTTCTTTTTTATTATTGTGAGCCGCTCAGAGTCACCCGTTGGGGGAGATGGGCAGCATACAAGTTTGATAATAAATAAATAAACAAACAAACAAACGATATCTATTTGAATGTTGTGCCTAGTAAGGTCTCCCTCAAGCTTGACTCAGATTCCCATCCAAGATCTAATCAGTTCTGACCCAGTTCAAATCAAGTTCTTTATTACAGGTCAATGACCCAGACTAAATAAAGCTTATTAAATAAAACCTACAAAGTAGAGCTACAAGACAGAACATAAAAAATAAAGCATACAAGATAAAAAATATACAATCATGTTTGCAGTATTTTGCTGACAGCAATATGTTTACAAGCTGCAAAAATAAACTTTGCAAGTCCCAGTTAACTTTTTGAGGTCAAGTTGACACTGTGACCTAGCTTCTTGCCAGGACTAATGTGCAACATTAAACTTTCTCACTGAAGCAAGAAACATTTGAGGTCATGCAATTCTGGATCGATTTTTTTTTTTAAATTTTGGGAAGACATTGCATGCCAATCTTGTTACTTTTCTATTTCCCATTTTGAATTAAAAATTGAGTGGCATGCTGTCTATGTTGTCTGCAATAAAAGAAATAACCTAAATAATAGTTTCTGTATAAACACTGTCATAGTACCAGCAGTGGATTATTGAACAGTGCGGTGGATAAAACTGGGGAAACCGATTTTGGTAATCTCCAGATGTGAGAGACTATATTTTGGCTGGGAATTCTGGGATTTCTAATTCAGTTACATCAAAGGCATGTGATCTAGGAAGGTTGTACTAAATAAATCACAGAATTATTATTGTTTCATTCATATTCATTTTTATACGTCTTTTTAATCAAAACACTGAAACTATAGTCTTTATTGAAAAACTGATTGTAAAATGTAAACTTCTGAAAATATACTGAAAAAAACAGCCCCGAAAGCGTGGCTTACATAAAAAGAATAAAAGTTACAAAAATCCTCGAATATTTAGTAGCCAGACAAATAAGCTACTGTAGAAGAAACCTTACAGCCCTAACAGAGCTTTTGCAATTATATCAACTATTGAAATAGTTGATACTATTACAAGCAAGGAATGTAGGAAATTCCTTACATAAAATATGAGCTTATGCTCATATATGAGCAACTGGCTTTTGGTTGATTATCTCAATGCATCTGGCCATCATTAGCAATCTAATCTACATAAATAAGAATACATGTATATTCTTATTTATGTCTACTTAGAAGTACTGGACTGCAAACTAATGAACTAATAGCTTCTCCATTGTGTGTAGACGTGGATCTGAGTTTGTATGTTACTTGCGGAAAACTGCCAACCTACACAAGCCATTTTTTTCTTTGCTGAGGTACCACAAGTGTAATGACAGGGAGTGGTGAATCCTTAGTAGCTTGGCAAGACGTCCTTCAACTACTGGCTGTCACAGATTAAAGGGATGAAACTTCTTGGCTTTTGACTGCTGCCTGATGGAGGTGAAAGGCTGCCCCAGGTACACTGTTGGGTAGAGGTACCACATGACTACTCCTGAGGGATTAATCACCACTGTGAAGTTGGTAGTAATCTTCAGGTCACTGATTATTTGACTGGTGTACACATCCTGTGCCTAGCAAAAACAAAAGCAGATAAGTGAATAAATGATCGTATGTGCATCTACTGTGGAACTACTGATATATTTTAGTAGCTCTTTCACAGCAATGTTTATCCCAGTGAAAAATACTAAAGCTTAATTGCCATACAACTTGAATTCTAAAATACTAAATAACCCTGTTGCTCCTTCACTACAAATGAATGGTAGTGGCAGTGTGTGTGTGTGTGTGTATGGGGGAGGGGGAAATGGAGTTTTGTGTTTATGATTTATTTTGCTGTGTACAGTTTTATCACCCCAGGAAACAACCTGATTATTAAAGAATTTTTAAAAGCCAGGATATGGCCATATTAAATTCAATAACACAGGGCAAATATAGGTAAGCAATACTGTGCAGAATTTGAGGTTTTCAGCTTGCCATCCCCCTCCCCCCAAATGTTTTCAACAATAGAGAAGAAGACCACAAACTGGTGCTTCTTTACTTACTTCATAGACAGTGTCCTCTGTAAAATTGAGCTGTGCGAGGGAGGCTGTGTAGCGATATGGCATGTCTGTCCTCCGACTAAAGAAAACCAGAGCATTGGCTGAGTGGGAAAGGGGCCGCAGGAAAACTTCAATTTGAGATTTGTCCTACAAAAGCAGATTGAACAGCATGTTCTTCTAAAAGACATCTTCCCCAGGACATAAACAGTAAACTGTGATGTCATTATATAGGAAAAGACACTTCCTCAACAGATTTCACAGTTCTGAAGCTCATATCCAATTCATAGTGTTATAATTTGGACAAAAAAATAGCATGGGGAGCCCCATGTACACAAGCTTCCCTAACCTTCTGCCTTCCAGATAAATTCTGGGAACAACAGTCACAATGGATCTGGAGTGTGCCAGATTGCTGAAAGCTGAGGCATCCTCTCCTAAGCTCCTTCGAAGAGAGGAGCATTATAAATGTAACAAATATCCTTGCCTTAAATTACTGATCCTCCCACATAAGAGGGTCAAAAGGCAAGAGTATATACTCTGAGTTCCAGGGATTCACATTGCAGTATATGCTTCTCCAGACCTTGGCCTTCCTTACCTGAAGGATTCTGCGCCCTTGGATTCCCAGGGGATCTTGGTTAATTTTGATCATCAATTTGTTTTGTAGAATCTCCTTGGCACTTTCAGAAATAATACGGAGGTCTGTGGACATGAAAAGAGGAGCAGCCATAATTGTCCATAAGGCCATCTGGGACTTGGACTGTTCAAGGCTCAGTCCAAAGTTTCCAATGATTAGCTGCAAGGCAAAGGAGAGGTTAACACAGAGGTGGTTAATAAATTCAAGAATGAAAGCAAAAGGAGACACAAGCTGCATATGGGCTGACTCCAAGAAAATTCTCGTTGAACAAAGATAACTGGGTAAGTTTGTTCAATGCCCTCTAATTGGGCTAACCTGGCCAAATATTCTTCTAGAAGATAGTTTAGGAAATAATATCAGGGCTGAGTGAATTCCAGTATCCCGTTGGGCAAATACATAAATGATTATTAAGTCCAGCATCCTAGGAATGTCAGTTTTTCAATATAAGAATTAGGTGCAAAAATTACTGCATTAACGTGGGTGGGAGGGGACAATGTGTTGATTAAACTTTAGAAACTAAAAAAATCTGTACGTTAGCAAAACAAGTTATATTTCCAATGGACTGTGGGGGAACTGAATCAGTACTATATATAGCCCTTTATCCTTTCACGGTAACAAGTTTTTGCAAAAGTTAGCAATATATGCCTATTTGTATGAATTATTTTGGTAATGGAATTCAGGTTTTCTGTGAAGTTTCTAGCGTAGGTTATATGTCACTGAGATTAAAACAATGGGCATGTACGGCAGTTTTAAGAATGTAATTCAAATGGCTTGCTACTCAGTTAGTTACATACAAGAGTTGAAAGTGTAAGATGCAGAGAACAGATGAATTCCTGCCAACAGTCACCTTCATTAGCTTTTCCTAGCTTTAGAATTCCAAAGACAGGCTCCCTCATCCACTTAGCTTTCCTATCATCCTCTTCAGCTCAACCTTACCATGTCAGGGTCATTCCAATGGCCAGGGCCAGCCGCTGGCTGAAGTACACCCTGATTCTTTGAGAACCATTCCACAATAGAGAGGACACTCTCCCAAGAGTCTTGAATGTCATCAAAGTTTCTCCAGAGGTTACATATGTTTGCTAAAAGAGTGTAGTTCACCTAAAACAAAACAAAGACATGAAACAGAATAATTACAGTCAGATTGGCATGATTTATCTTTTGGAGATGAGCATCAGTTTACATCCTTTTGGCTACTCTGGATGTGTTTAATATCTGGGGAAATCTGTACTGGAAAGGGGAAAACCCAAGTTAAATAATTAGCTAAAATTATTTGGCTATCCAACTGAAGTACAGTGGGGCAAAAAAGTATTTAGTCACCCACCAATTGTGCAAGTTCTCCACTTAAAAAGATGAGAGAGGCCTGTAATTTTCATCATAGGTATACCTCAACTATGAGAGACAACTTGGGGAAAAAAATCCAGAAAATCACATTGTCTGATTTTTAAAGAATTTCACTATGCTGCCAGGGACTCAAATCCTGCAGTGCCAGATGTGTCCCCCTGCTTAAGCCAGTACATGTCTGGGCCCGTCTGAAGTTTGCTAGAGAGCATTTGGATGATCCAGAAGAGGATTGGGAGAATGTCATATGGTCAGATGAAACACTTAAAAAGATGAGAGAGGCCTGGAATTTTCTTCATAGGTATACCTCAACTATGAGAGACAACTTGGGGAAAAAAATCCAGAAAATCACATTGTCTGATTTTTAAAGAATTTCACTATGCTGCCAGGGACTCAAATCCTGCAGTGCCAGATGTGTCCCCCTGCTTAAGCCAGTACATGTCTGGGCCCGTCTGAAGTTTGCTAGAGAGCATTTGGATGATCCAGAAGAGGATTGGGAGAATGTCATATGGTCAGATGAAACACTTAAAAAGATGAGAGAGGCCTGGAATTTTCTTCATAGGTATACCTCAACTATGAGAGACAACTTGGGGAAAAAAATCCAGAAAATCACATTGTCTGATTTTTAAAGAATTTCACTATGCTGCCAGGGACTCAAATCCTGCAGTGCCAGATGTGTCCCCCTGCTTAAGCCAGTACATGTCTGGGCCCGTCTGAAGTTTGCTAGAGAGCATTTGGATGATCCAGAAGAGGATTGGGAGAATGTCATATGGTCAGATGAAACACTTAAAAAGATGAGAGAGGCCTGTAATTTTCATCAAATAAATTCTTTAAAAATCAGACAATGTGATTTTCTGGATTTTTTTCCCCAAGTTGTCTCTCATAGTTGAGGTATACCTATGAAGAAAATTACAGGCCTCTCTCATCTTTTTAA